ATAATTAGAGATGGATGGAAAGCATGAATCTTCAGCAACTTGTCTTATCTCTACCTTCTTACCTGAGCCAGGCTAAAACCAGTGATGAAATAGCTACTGTAAGAACACAGGGCGATGCACAAGAGCAATAGTAATGCTTTTTATAGCATAAAAGCAGTAGTGTTCAACTCCACACACAGCGAGGCCCAAGGGAGAAACAGATTATGACGACAGCATTTCACAGATGGAAAAATAAGAAGCTGTTAAAACACCCCCCCCCCCCGCAATACATGTGCATTCTGTGTGCGTGAAATCAGACTCCTGTGCTCCTGTGATGCCCAAGTGCACATCTAAAGAATTATTAAAAATGTAATTTATAGTTGTGTAAGCCCACAAAGGCACCTTCCTGAAGGGCAGGCTCATATCACACACAAACCTTAGAGGCGGCTTACAGACCACAGAATATTTGTTCTTTCAGACTAACCCATCCAGTCCTGTATCCTGTCTCCAAGAGTGGAGTCCATTACGGTGTTCCTTCTGGAATACACCTGTGCATCGGGAGTGAAGTGAAAGAGTCCTTCTGAGCCTCTGGAAGCTTCTGTAGTGCAAGGAACCTGTGGCCATTTGGGATGTCAATTGTCATTACACCACACTCCACAGCCACTTGGAATTTCAGTCACAGCAGGGAAAGAACTCAGATCCTTCTACTCCAAAGAGCACACACTCCTGCCACTTGACCATGGGAGAATCTCAGTGAACCATTATATGGCTTCTGATACACATGTAAGCAATTTTGATTCCATAAGTAGGGAGAAGAGTGACATTTACACTACAGCCAATCATTACAATATGTATATTCTCCAAAATGCTGTTTGGGGTCTCAGCCATGGTCTTTTCATTCCCTTTCTCTTTCTGGTAACTAGAGAGGCATCTCCACAGGGATAGTATGCATAGAATTATGGAAGATGTATTTTGAGACCCAAGGAGACTGGGGACATTTGACAAAAACAAACATGTAGCTCTATAAGCACCCTTAAAAACATGCTAAGTAGCAAATAAAAGTCTAGGAAGTAAATTGAATTAGATATACTTGGTGTTAAATCAAGCTAACAAATTATTTGTGTTGTGTATTGTGCAGATGATTTTGAAGTGACCGCAATAAAGATTTATGTTTTAATGTATACAATGCATCTTATTATAAAAACTCAGGGCACGTCTACAAGACTGAAAAGAAAAAAATCCTCCCAGAATGGCTACAATAATAAACACATAAATAAAAAGAACAGGTCTGCCTCAAAAGCAAACTAAGCCTTGAGCACCCGCAACTACCAGCGATTTCTATGGGAGTTATAGAGGCTTAACATGCCTTTTGATCAAAACCAAAATAACAAACCCCCCCACTCTGGGAAAAGTCTGAAGGAAGAGAGAAGCCCAGTGGAATTGCCTTAAGATCAACAAAATTAGGCTGTATTGGGCCAAGCCTATTCTAGAGTTTCTGCTGATGACACTCGCCCATTAAGACATTTAAATGTGTCTATTTATATATGCACACATATGCACACCTATACCCACACCCACTTATAAAATGACAGCACAACAGGGAACTCCATGTTTCAGGTCTTTCAGTGAGTGCAGTTCAAATATCCTCCATTTAAGTACAATTATACTTTTACTTACTGTCACCAACACAAACGTCTCTTGGGCTACGAGAGTCAAATTGGGTTCTTTACATCTCCTACATCACTAATAATAAAGGCTCTGCAGGTCAAATTTTGCTCCCAGTGACACTTGTGCAAGCCACCTGCTACCAATGGATTTTCACAGAAGCATCTGACTGGACTCAGTCAATAGAACATGAGAAAAAAATAAACTATAATCCATTTTATAGCTGCGTTAACACTACAGCACTGTGGAGACTGTGGGAGATTTGTTCTCTATTCTTTTTAATACTGTGTGTGACTCCATTTACCTGCCTACTTTTGTACTGTGAGTTACAGGGACTTAAAGGGCTGACTCATGCTTGAAGCTCTCCTCTCAGGAGACCAGAAAGAGAGACAATGATCTGAATTGACTCTGTCAGCCATTTCTTCACCAATCACACAGGTGATCAGGGCTGCAAAGTACTGTCTCTGCACATGGTGGGCAGATGCACTTCCTTGGGATAAAGGGGGAAGGGTGGTCTAGGATCAAAATCAAAAGGGATTTGATTTTGTTAAAAAGAAGCCCTAAAACTGGACAAAGGACTCCGTGGGCCTGTCTACACTGCCATATAAGACCTGGCTTAGACTCTGGATTCAGCACAATCCCCTAGTCCAGTGTTTCTCAAAGCGGTCCACGAAACCACTTTGAGAAACCTGCTAATTAGCTGCTCCAGATTGTTTACTTATTGGCTCTGCAGCCATGGAGCCTCGTGGCTCCCATTATCTGTGGTTTGCCATTTGCAGCCTACGGGAGCTGTGAGAAGCAGTGGCCTGGCCCACACTGCTTCTCACGGCTCCCCTTGGCCACTACAGCCAACAGGAACTACAATTGTAAACTACAGCCAACAGGAGCTGCGAGGCATCATGGCTGCAGAGCAGGTAAGTAAACAAACTGGAGAGGACTGGTAGCAGCTCTCTCAGAATGGGTCCATGGACTGCTTTGTGATACACTGCCCTAGTCCATCCTCAGGTATTTATTTAGTGTGTGTGTGGTCATCTCTCCAAATGATGGCACTTCCATCAGCATGATGCAGTTCCTCTAGACCGCTGCTGAATCTAGTCAGCAGGTATTCATTGACAATGTGCATCAGCAATATTGATTGGCTACACAGAGAACTTCTCCTGTCCTCTACCTGTTCAACAGAGACCACGGATGATTGAGCAGGTGGAAACAAGGTGGACAGATTGTGGGGTCAGCACCAAAGGACAAGTTGGGAATTTTAACAGACATCCATTGCTCTTGTCAGAATGTTTCCACCCTGACATCCTGGCATGGCAGATGAGACCATATTGGGCAACACGACAACAAACATGCATCGATGTTTTAAAAAGATCATTGTGCAGTGACAGGCTTGCGTTGGCTCCTACTTTCTCTAGTAGCTTGCCAGAGGCAACCTCTCATCTGATACAAGGAGCAGCAATATTGGACCTTATGAGAGTGGGGGGAGGGGTTCAAAGCTGAGTCAGGATGGGACCCAGGGTCCAAACTATATCACTTTGCAATGTAGATGCAGCCCTGCCAAGATTTAGGTCCTGGGAGTCTGTCAAAAGTATCCCACAATTGCATTGGTCAATTTCCTTTGTCTTCTCCCACAAATAGAAACAGAAGCTCAGTTGTAGCTCTGAGTCAGCATTCAACCCTTCCGTTTTATTTGGACCACCAAGTTGCAAACATTCCTTCAGAGAAGTTTCTGTGTTTGCAACAGAACCGAGCAGAAGTCCTTTAGAAAACATGCTGCTTCATGGTCGTGGGAGCACAATCCAACCGATTAATCACTGGTGTGAGACCGTGGATTATAGTCAGAGCTGGCCCAAGCTACGGGCTGACTGGGCTACTGCCCAGGGCGCCCCATTGTAGGGGGTGCCGCACGGGGCTGCCGAACCTGGGGAGGGGAGGCCGCGCATGCACCGGGCACCCGGAATGGGGTTGCACATGTGCCAGGCGCCCAGGGGTGCCGCATGCCCAGGGTGGGGCCATGCATGCACCCCGCACTCCCGGGGGCGATTTGGGCCGGCCCCGATTATAGTACGAGTACCACAAATGACCAGCAAACACCAAAGAAACAAGTTGCACTGGAAATTCACTGGACCAGTATCCAATTCAGGATTAGGCGGCTCAAGCCCAAGTACTAGAAATCCAGGAACTATAACCGCATCTTGGGCAACTCGCTGACCTCATGCCTGTTTTAGACAAGTTTGACCAGCTGCTGGGTACTTTGTCAAGCTCAGAGCCAACAGCAATGCACAATGACCTTGCTGGTCCAGATATGATCTAGTGGCCCCAGAATCTAGCATAGGTACAGATGGAAGGCACCAGCTGGTGCTGAATGAGGCCAGCTACATGACTTTGCTGCTGACCACTGGTCCGAGAGGAGATTTGGTTACAGGAGCAGCTGTAGCACATCTTGGGGCCCATTCTCAGAGGAACTTTTTGATGCCCCCACTCCCCAGTAAATGGCCTGTCACAGAACTGACTGCAGAAACAGAAGAGGCAGAAGTGGATCTGGAATCTGATAAGTTTCTGATTCCATTTTATTACTATAGGAACAGGAGGGATTTCCATTCTGAAACCAAGTCACAAAGTCATCACAAGCCCTAGTTAGCAGCATTTACCAGCTCATGGCAGACTGTATGCCAACACCCGGGTGTCCTCCTGCCCCTTCCCATATGTTGAATTCCAAGTGGCGGTTAGGAAACACAAACAAAAAACACTCCCACAGGTGATTTTTTCTTGGAGAAATGCACATTTTTGTTCGGGCCCTTCCTATTTGTTTGTTTTTAAATAACCACCTTAGGCTGCCATCTCTGTAGGCACACAACTCAAACCACTCAACAGTGTCTGAGAACAGTGAACGGGGGTGGAAATGTCTTCCATTTACACAGCTAGTTCATTTCACTCCAATGAAACAGGTGACAGCATTGTTTCTCCTAAACACAACTGAGGTTTTCAATTTTGTCCAGAAATGTGCTGGGGAGGGGGGAATAAGGGATGAGATACAGTAGTGGACTTCTATTTGTTTGCACGCAGTCATAATGGACTAAGCCTTGTGAAAGCTATCACAGCATCCTACTCAGGCCTGCCAACAGGGAGGTAGGAGGGGTTGGGGGCGGGGCAAGGGAGCAACTGCCCTGGGACCCAGCAAGTCAAACAGGCCTGGAGCTCCACACCCTTTAAAGCACTGCCAGAGCCCCCGGTGGCGTGCGTAGAGCAGTGCTAAAGCCTGGCCCCATCCCTCCCCTTTCCAGCCAAAGCCATGCCCCTTCAGAGAGGAGGAGCCAGCCCTGATCTTGCCCAGGGGCCCAGAGAGTCTGTCGGCTCACCTGATTCCAATGATCCCCTCATAGCTGCAAACTTTCCCTGTAGCAGTAAGTCCTATAGCATTTCAGGGAAGAGAGTGTTTTCCAGGACCCCTTCAGTAGCTCACTAGCCCACAGCACTCACAGATGTGCTGTCCTGTCACTGTGTGTTTGAATACTTCAGTGGCGTACACTGCTGGCTCCTTGGCTTAACATCTCTCTTCGCCAGCCAGGCACCACAGGAGCTGTTACGTCCTCCAAAAAGTGGAATTCCTGAAATGAGAGAGAAACTTTCATAGCATGGCCACCAACTGCCTGCCCTACCCCAAAACCAAGCTGTTTTGCGATTTCGGGGGGAGGGGGGAGAGGGGAGCTTTGATTTTTAACTTATTATTGTCTTTGCACTTTTTTTCACTGCAATTTTTCACTGGTTGTATCCAGGGAGCATCGGAATCATCCCAATTTATTGAAGTTCAGTTTGGAAAAGTAACATTTCATGTCCTTCAAATTCTACCTGGATTTTTGCTGAGCTCCTGCACTGAGCTATTTGAGACAATCACCCTCCATGTCTTTCCTACGCCAGGCCCATAGGTGCCGACTCCATGGTTGCCCCAGGGCTGGAGGACCTATCAGCACCAAACTCCCTGACTCTGTCCTCTCCCCTGGCACTTACCAACTTCTCCTCCTCCCTCCCAGTGCTTTTGGAGTGTGGAAAACAGCTGATTCATGCTGTTGAAGCTCTGGGAGGAATGGGGACTGGGTGTGCTCAGGGAAGGAGGCAGAGTTTTAGGGGGGTGGAGTAAGTGGCCGGTCCTGGAGCGGCGGGGAGGTCAAGAACCCCCTGGCAAAATAAAATGTCAGTGCTTATGGACAGGCTCCTCAACCTCTCCAGGCTGCAGTGCCTCACAGGCTGGCCCACAGTGCAGCAAGCCTGGCCCAGCACACATTCCTGCACTGTTCCACGAGGAAACGTTCATGGTTAAGTTATGGCTGAAGTTCTGGACAGGGCCAGCAGGCAGAGGGGCCAAAGACAGAGGGACTTACAGCTAGAGGAAAGGTGTGGTAAGGAGACAAGGCTCAGGCTGGCTGCACAGTTTGAGGACCCTAGCTTGCATCTAGGGGCAACATGGGGGCATGTGTCCCAAAAAACTATGGGTGGGAGGGATCTGGGGCCAGTCAGCAGCCAGTAGGGCAAGAGTCTTTGGGTGTCTGGGAAACTAGTGGGAGGCCTGGTGTCTGCAGCAGATGTCCCCCCCCTGCACTCACCAACAGTGGCAGGGCAAGGCAGAGCAACACAGCCCACCTTGCTCTGCTCTCCCAGGGCATTACTCAGGGAAAGGGGCGGGACTGTCCCCATTCTCACTGATGGGAAGCGGAGCGACATGCCTGGGAGAGTAGAGCGAACTGGGGCCACATTGCTCCACTTCCCCTGCTGCTGCTGGTGAGTGCGGGGCAAGGGTCGGACCCCAAGCCCCATTAGTTCCCTGGCTGCATCACTTGGGGGAAAGAGGCAGGACAGGGAGGAGCAAGGGCAGGGAAAAGGCGAGAGGGTGGAGCAGGGGCAGATTACAAGCAGGGTCTGGGGCAGAAGGGAGTTGCCCCAGCCCTTCCCCAGGCTCCCTATCCCCCTAACCTGTGCCTGAAACCCTCCATGGTACCATGGGATACATTCCAGGAACAGCCTGGACAACATGGAGGTGGCCCATGCGATCAAGCCCTATAAGTGGCTGAGCATGGCAATTTTTCCCTGCGGCTGCCCCCACTCCTTCCATCAGCACCATGTGTGTAGCACATGTGGTAGGAAAGGAGAGGAGGCAGCCCAGGGTGGTAACAGCAGGGGGGTCTGTCTCATACATAGCGTCACTGTTTCCTCTTTTTCATGCACTTTGATTTTCAGGCTTTGGCATGGAAATGGCAGCCGGCCTGCCTGGCAGTAGGTCCATGTCGTACTTTTCTAATAAATGTTAATACATAAAGCTTTTTAGTTTATTAAGCAAGTTTATAGCTATAATTGCATCACATCTCTGCCACACATGCTGCAAATAATAAGGGACACTGGGAATTTGTAGGCAAACGCTATTTCTCAGTGCAATCAGCTATATCAATCCATGCATCAATCACTTGCTTACACCAATCCATATTGTAAATCAACCCTCTCACCCCCCCTTGATAACCGGTGAGGTCATTCATGAGTACATTGTATGGCAATCAACCCACCATCCATCCCAAGCACTGTGACACCCCCACAATCACATCCTGCAGATTGCAGTGTGGATGCCAGAGTCCCAGATTCAAGCCCAAGATTTTTTTTAAAAAATCCTTAACTTAGAGCCATAGGCACAGACTCTGTGGCTGCTGTGGGACTGAAGCACCCGTGGGGGAAAACAGTGTGTGCTCAGCACCCAGCAGTGGCCCTGCTAATCAGCATCTCTCTCTCCGCCCCGTGCCTCCTGCCTGCCCACCATTCAGCTTCTCCCCCTCCCTCCCAGCATCTGCCTATCACTCTGAGGAGCACACAGGAGGTGTAGGGGAGGGAATGGAGCAAGGGCAGCGTGTGCTCAGGGATGTGGGTGGAAGGGGGCAGGAAGAAGTAGGGTGGGACCTTGGAGGAAGGGGTGAAGTGGGGGCAGGGTTGGGGGTGAAGCTGGGGGTCAAGCACCCCCTGGGAAATGACAGTCAGTACCTGGACCTAGGATTGCTAACCAGTGTAGATGCTCAAACCCTAGGTTCTCAAACCCAATGTTCGCTGACTTGAGTCCCACTAGCCTCAGGCTTACTTTGCAGAACAGACATGCCTGGGGAGAGAGGCTGGCAGAAACTAGATGCAGGCTCTCTCCCCATAGCCAAGGTAGAAGGCTACCTGGGCTATACTAAGGAGAAACTGACACAGGGGTGGGCAACCTGTGGCCCGAGAGCTGCAAGTGGCCCATCGGGGTTCTCGGTGTGGCCCATGAGACATTTGGTTTACTTTTGCCCACATGCAGAGTTGCCAGATTTCACTGGTTTCCATCTGTGTCATTTTTACCTGCCAGTATTAACAAAGCAACACTCATGTGGACCAAGGGCACATGAAGTGAGCCGTGCGCTCTCTCTGCAGCCAATCAAAGCACTGCTCAGGTTCAACCGGCACACCCTGCACATTCTAGGTACACAAGTGTCATTAGCAAACCTACCCTGTCACGGGAGACCATCTTGGTCACAACAACCTTGCAGCCCACTGAGATGAAGGAGGGACAC